GAGGGAGGTATCTATTTGCTAGGTAGGGACAGTCACAGAAGAAGTGATACTGGATTTGGGCTTTGAGACATGTGTTCGCTTTCTGTAGATAAAGAGGGGCGGGCAGGCAGGCCGGTGTGGTGGGTCGGGGGGAGGCCCGGGAGGCCGGGTTTGATGCTATAGGCAATGAGAGCTGTGGATGGCTTCTAAGCAGTGAAATGGTTCGATTTTAAGTTTTAAAAAAACGTGGTTTACTTATGAGGACCACACGTTGGAAGAACGCCTTCCAGGGTTTATCACTCTGAATACATTCAAAAGCTGCCAGAAACACTGCCGTCTTACGATGTCTTTCAGGGGGGTGGGGAGGAGGGCAGGGAAATTAAAAAGTGCACAGAAAACCTGGTGGTAGCCAGGCTCGGTGGCTCAGCCTGTAATCCCGCGCCTTCGGGAGGCTGAGGTGAGTGAATTGCCTGAGCCTGCGGGTTCGAGACCCGCCTGGGCAGCGAGACCTCATCTCTACAATAAATCAAAAAATCAGCCGGGCGTGGTAGCGCATTCCTGTAATTCCGGCTACTCGAAGGCTGAGGCAGAAGGATCACGGAGCCCAGCAGGTCGAGGCTGCGGTGGCCGGGAGCGGCCACTGCACTCCAGTCTGGGCGACAGAGTGAGACTCCAACTCAAAAAAAAAGAAAACCTGGTGGTTTCTGGCTTCTCTGCTTTGTGTGTGCAGCTGGCAGAGGGGAAGGAAGGCCATGTCTGAAACAGCGAGTGAGGTGCCAGGAGGCAGTGAAAGGTCGACCCTGGCACTCAGGGGTAGGCTGGAGACAGGGGCGGTGGCTCCCTGAGAGCCAGCCCCTTTCCCCAGTGGGTGAGGCCATGCAGGAGCTGTAGCCAGAGGCAGGCTGGTAGATGCCAGTCAAAGGGCTGCCAGTGCCAGGAGGGCTTCAGGAAGACAAGTGCCCAAGGTAGGCACGATGCTCTCCTTTTCCCAGATTCCCACTGGCCAAGAACCTCGTAGACTACTTAGGCACAAGTCTGACGCTTCCACTTGGTCTGTGCAGCTCAGGCGTGGCCCTCCAGAAGCACAAGGGTCAGTTTGGGGTGTTTTTCCCCACTGGCCCAAGGGGAACAGTTTAGAAGCCCCGTCATAATTTTACATTCCTTTGCTTAGGTAGACTCTAAAGTTTAATGCAAAGTGCTTAGTCCAAGATGAGATGGGCCTATCAGTATCCACAATGAGAGGGAATTTTAGGGTTTCCAGGTGAATATGCTTTTTAATTTTATTGTTAGAGACAAAGTCTTGCTGTGTTGCCCAGACTGGTCAACAATCTGGGCTCAAGCAATCCTCTTTCCTTGGCGTCCCAAAGTGCTAGGATTATAGGCATGAGCCACTGCACCCGGCCTGAATGTACTTTAAGTAGTTGACTTACCACTATGCCAGCTTTGCAGGTAATTTTATGTGAAAAATAACTTTGGAGACTTTCTTTATAATAAAAGTAAACTAAGTACAATTTACTTTCTGAATATTTACTTGTGGGTAGGAATTTTCTCCCAAGATTGCTATTACGTGAAGGAAAATTTCCTTTTTGGGGAAAATGTTTTGGAAGGAAATTGACAAGTGGTGTATGGACCTATGGAATTCCCCTGTGGATTGTTTTGGTTGTCCTTTTCCCCAGAAAGGCTGCCTGCTGAGGTTTTTCTCCCAAAGACAGGCAGATTCAGTTAGGAAGTAACACATGTAACCAACATGCCTAGAAGACTCTAATTGTTTAGAGCAGGGTTTCTAATCTCAATGCTGACATCTTGGATCGGACAACTTTCTGCTATGGGGGCTGTGCTGTGCAAATGTGGGATGTTTAGCAGCATCCCTGGTCTCTACTCACCAGATTCCCAAAACACACACACACACACACACACACTCACACTCTCTCTCTCTCTCTCTCTCTCCCCCGCAACCCGTTATAACAGCCAAAAATATTTTCACATTGCCAGATGTCCCCTGAGGGACAGAATCTCCCCTGGCTGGGAAGCACTGCTTAAGATTACTTACGCAAATGTTTCTCAAAGAAAAATGTTATGCACTATTTCATCAGTTCAATAAAGTTATATTAGGTTGATGCATAAGTTTGTAGTGTTTGTTTTTGGCATGGCAACACTATGGTGTTGGGAGTTTGTTTATCATTTGGAGTGACAATGTCGTGCTTGTGAATACATGTTGCATTCTGCAGATTTGAAGAAAGTGCTGTTTGTGGGCTAAAGAAGATGGAATGTCAAGTAGAAAAAACGATTTTTCCCGCTGCGGCAGTGGCTCGAAACATTTGTGCCATGTACAAGGAGAATGCCAACAGGGAAAGCATGGCAAGAACATGGTTTTATCATTTCAAAGAGGGCCACTTTGACTTGGATGATTCTCCACCTAGCTTTGATGAAGACCATTTAAACAATTTAATCCACAATGATCTACATTGGTCAAGCCCCAAATTGGCAAATATGATGAACTGTGACCAACCATTGTGCAACATTTGCATTCCATAGGCAAGTGGAATCAACCTAATATAAAATTTTCTTAGAGATTAGAATACAAAACAGAACGATGCCCTCCATTTGACACACTCCCAGTTTTATCCATCACCAATGTGATTTTCTTTTTTTTGAGTTGGAGTCTCACTCCGTCGTCGCCCAGACTGGAGTACAGTGGTACGCTCCCCGCCACCGCAGCCTCGACCTGCTGGGCTCTGGCAATCCTTGAGCCTCAGCCTTCCAAGTAGCCGGGACTACAGGTGCGCACTACCACGCCCAGCTAATTTTTGATGTAGTGTAGAGACGAGGTCTTGCCAAGTTGCCTGGCCGGGTCTTGAACCCGCGGGCTCAGGCAGTCCACTTGCCTCGGCCTCCCAAAGTGCTGGAGTTACCGGCTGAGTCACTGATCCTGGCCACCAACGTGATTTTCACAACAATGCTCTGAAGTGCCCTCAGCTTCTCTTCAGAGTGGGGCTGGAGTCTGCTGAGTGCACAGCACAGGGAGCTGGCTGGCCACAGGGTCCCCATATGCCTCGCCATGATGAGGTAGCTGAAGACACCTGGGGCTTGGTCAACAAAGAGTTCTTAGGTTTTTTATTTTTTGAGTTGGGGGTCTCACTCTGTTGTATAGGCTAGAGTGTAGCGGCACTGTCATGACTCACCACAGCTTTGACTGCCTGGGCTCAGGAGATCCTTCTGCCTCAGCCTCCAGCGTAGCCTGAACTACAGGTACATGCCACCACCCCCGACTAAATTTTTTTTTTTGTAGAGATGAGGTTTCACTGTTACATAGGCTGGTCTCGAATTCCTGCACTCAAGCAATCCTCTTGCCTTGGTCTCCCAAAATGCTAGGATCACAGGTATAAGCCACTGTGCCCAGCCTTAAGGTGCATTTTTATATCTAGAATTATTTAGGCTTCAAATCTTTCCTTCGTTATTTATCAATATTTGGCCTATAATCAGACTTGGCCCTCTAATGGTGCAGCTTTTTCCTTGTTCCCAGAAAGGCTCAGAGAAGCATACTTACTTACCATGATGACCAAGTCTTCATCATTTGGTCAGAACAGATGCTACCCTTGGATGGAAGTAGAAGATAGCAGGCCTTTTGTTGGGTGTAGTTTGACAAGAGGAGGCTGCTCCAAGGCCAAGTCCCTTGTGCCTCCAAGTCTTGGTGTGCCTGACACATCTACAGAATTCAAGAACCTTGAATATCCTGAGAGGCCTTCAGCAAAGAGTGTGTCAGAAGTCACATGGGTGACAGCTAAAAGGAAGACTGTCAGATATGGAGGGTATCTGTTCTGTTTTGTATTCTAATCTCTAAGAAAAGCTTATACATTTATTGAATGGATGAAATATCACATAGCATTTTCTTAGAGAAACATTTGCATGAATTGTCTTTTAAACCAGTGGTTCCCAGCCAGGGGAGATTCTGTTCCCCAGGGGACATCTGGCAATGTAGAAACATTTTGGTTGTCAAAACTGGGGGTGGGGGTGTGTGTGTGTTACAGGCATCAAGGAGACTGGAGAACCGCTGAACATAAATATGCACATGGGAACAGACAACGTGACTACATTTTGAAGTGGTCCCCAAACTGTCTTCTGAAGCATGTCACCTGCGCAGTCACACATCGCTTAATAACAAGACTATTATCTGAGATGTGTCCTTAGGTGCTTCTGTCATTGTGCGAACATCAGAGTGATTTGCACAAACCTAGATGGCACAGCCCACTACACACCTAGGCTAGATGGTACAGCCTCTTGTTCCTAGGTTACAAACCTATATAGCATGTTACTGTACTGAATACTGCAGGCAACTGTAACATGATGGGAAGTATTTGTGTGTCTAAACATATCTAAACACAGAAAAGGCACAGTACAAATATGGCGTTACAATTCTGTGGGTCCACCATATATGTGGTCGTTGCCCAAGATGACATTATATGGCCCATGGCTGTATGCCGTATCACCTATATGCATATTTATGTAGTCTGTGCACACACATATGTTGGGCACACACATATGTTGGGCACACACACACGGAGCACATTGGTAGAGTCTTTGTGTTTCAAAACTCTGCTGTTTCAGCAGCCTTGTGACTTTTTCTCCCAAATATTACCATGAGCTTAAATGATAACCACTATTGTTTCTAAGGGGAGGACACATATACATGCTTGCTCTCATATTTGGCCTAGTAGGAGATGGGAACACTGACACCTTAGCACAAAAAAATTTGTGTGGCAATTGAATTAGTCAATTAATTTTTAAATTTAATTGAGACAGGAGCTTGCTATGCTGCCCAGGCTGGTTTCAAACTCCTGGGCTCAAGCAGTCCTCCTGCCTCGGCCTCCCAAAGAGCTGGAAATACAGGTATGAGCCACTGTGCCAGACCCTGTGTGGAAATTTTAAATGAAATATATTCATATTTAATAATAGAGAGATACAGAGTTTGAGTTAAATCATTAAGGTTTTTTTTTTTGATGATGAAAAAGAGGAGACAAGGATTCATGTGCTTCTTTATTCAGGGAAAAATAAGTAGAAAACTGCATGTAGAATTTTAATATGTGCTGAAATATAAGGTATTTTAAAGAATTTCTTTAACAAAATGGTAGATAGTAGGATTTATTTTAATTTTTCAATCTGAAAAAAACCCCAAAAACAAAAGAATCAAACTATCCTCATATATATATGTATATACACACACACATATATATGTAGTCAACATTTTCAGAGCACTTACATTAGGAAATATTGTTTCTCTTCAACCATATGACAATACTGTATATGCCACAATAAAATTTACAAAAACAATCACATCAGCAGTCATACAAACATCATGATTTTACATTTCAATACACAAGAAAAAACAACCATCTTCCTGGCCCTTGGCCTCTTCCCGACGGCGGCCTCCTTCCCACGTTTTTAGGGCCCTCAGCTTTCCAAGCCTACCAGTGGCTCTAGTAGAAGTCACATCCTTCCCAGATCCAAACTTAAATAATGAGAAGTTTGCCATTTAAAAATAACCAAGAGTTTATTAATGGATGTGGTGAAGTTTACCCACCAAAAGACGTGTAAAAAACTGCATGAAGGTAAAAATAAATAAAGCTGTTATAGAGCAGCCTTGTTTACATGGCAGCTCTGAACAAAACAAATGAAAAAGTGTCATTAAAGTTTTAAAGTAATTATTTAAATTCAAATTACAGCTTTTTGACAAATCTAATGAAAACAAACTGATTTGGTAAAAGGTTCAAAGACTTCCACATTCAAGCTTGGTGTTGCTGCACATGCGTGAGCTCTGGCCGCGGCAGGCAGCGGTGATGACATATTGCTGTATTCGGACAGAAGGCACTGTGATCTGAGCATGCGTGCACTCACCTTATGTCACATCCCCAGTTCCATACCAGTGAATTCTTTGAAATGAAAAATAATAAAAATTTCAGGACACAGTGCACTTTAATGACATACAGCATTTAAAATACTTCAGACAAAGGTCTGAAAACAGTCTCTTAATGCAAGCCTGAATCTTCAAGCACATAAAATCTTTCTTTTTTTAAGCTTAATTTCAGCATTACTGGAAAAAATACCCATCAGTAAACCCTGATATACATTCTTAACCATTTGCAGCCAGTGTTCATGAGGCAAAACGTGACCCAGAAGCTTTGTTCAAGTTCTCCTGGAGGGCGTCTACATTCACAGCCGTCATTCTGTTTCCGTCTCCTGTTGTTTGGCACCTGTCAGTGGATGGAAAGGGAAAGTTTCATACTAACAGCACAGTTCTCTACTTATGCCCGGCACTCAGGAGACGACCAGAGGCCTTGGAGGACAAAGAAGTGGGAAGGGACAGGGGGCTCCAAGCTCCCCTTTCCACCTCTCATTCCTGCAGCTTGGATCCACACTACATCTCATCACTCTAAATAGCTAAGATTTAATTTGGGAAAAAAAAAAGGTTCCACTCCTAAAAAAATTAGAGCAATAAGTAGGTATGTTTTAGGGAGGGTATAAAATATTTCAGTTGCGCGTACATTTAAAATGTGGGAAAAATAGCATTATAACATTTCCGAAGGATAATGGCATACAACACCCACAATATCTGGCCAGGACATTTCAACACGGGTTGGTAGTTAGAGCTGCTGTTTTTCTCATCACAGTAGTCTGTCTCCTACTTTCTCACCAGACACTAGACTCTTGAGAGAGATGAACAATGTATTAGAATACCTGGCTAAAAATGGCAACTACCACCATCTGATTGCTCACTCATGAGATGCGTGTGCAGACACTTAGGTTCATTTAGAGAGTCTAAGTCTCACAATGAACTACTGAAGAAAACTCTTTGAAAAAGAGAAAACACTAATGCATTGAACCATTATCCTTAATTGGGGATTGTGGCCATTTTCAGGTAAAAAGAATAACCACTAGTACCTTTGAGCTGCGTGGACGCTTAGTAAAAGTAGTTCTTCCTTAACATCCGCCTAGCAGTGCTTGGCGTGGGCACAGTGCCTCACCAGGTACACACTGCCTGTGCTCAAGTTTTTCATCTCAGCTCATTGGATCTTAGGAGGGAGATAGGTCTGTACCAGCCTGCTCATCCTATAGTTGAGGAAACTGAGGCTAAATGAGTGAAGTAACTTGTCTGCATTGAGACAGCGCTTAGGTGGGAAAACTGGGCCTTGGACTAACAGCGCTGGCCTCCTTGTTTGCTGCGTATAGCAGGCTGGCCCCGAGCATGCCAACTACGGGTGATCAGCTGTGGCATTCCCTGAGTTCCAAGGGAGTTCCACTGCAGGTGTTCACTTGCAATCCAGTTATTAAGAATACACATTTTCCTCAATAAATGGTGTTCTAGATATCGTATCATAATTCCAATCCATGTCTTATCTTTATGACATGATTTCTATGGTAATGTCCATTCCAAATTCCAGCTGGAAACAGATTTCTTCCCTTAACTGCTGGGATAGGAGAACTGCACTGACTCAGAATTTCTCAAACATCAGATCTGGATGAAATGTGAACACATCCAACTCAACCATTTCATTCTTATGGTCTGAGATACCAAGGCAAACCGAGTCTAACTCATTTGACTTGTTTACTCTGTTTGTAATGCCTGAGGAATCTTGGCCAAAGGAACAGACAAGAGCTGAAATTCAGCCCAATTCCACTGGGCAAACTGTGTGCCCAGAGCCAGTCATTTGGAAAGGGATGCCTTTTTCTGAAAGTGCCAGTTATGTACCTGCAAGGATAGATGTGCTCAGAGAAGAGGTTTTTTCCTAATTTGCACGACGGTGCTGTATAGTTATGCCTCCCTGGAAACTTATAAAAATGTAATCACATGGTATGGGTGATTAGATCCTCCTAAGTCTGTCCTTTGCTCAAGATTATTTGTGAGACTCCCCCATTGAGAACACCACCATACTGTTCATTTTCAGGGCTGTATGATACTCCCTTGAATGACTATAACACAATTTATCCATTCTTCTTTTAGAAGATATTTGGATTATTTCCAGTTTTAGGGTATACAAATCATGAGATGAATAATCTCTCATTCATCTAGTTGTTACTATTTCATGATTATAAAGACTACTGTGAGTTTCAGGGTCTTAGACACTTTAAGTCTGAAAATGACTGCAGTAGGCCCCACCTCTAGAGTTTATGACTCAGTAGATGTGGGGTGGGGCTTTCAATGGACATTTCTCATGAATTCCAGGCAATGTTGAGGACTGCCTGTGAATAGCACTGCTCTACTGGAATCTTGCTCTTGGTATTCTCGTTTAGTGAATAAGACCTATTTCTTGCAGGTGGTAAAGATTCCTTTGGGATAGGTATGTTTAAGTTACAGACTAATTATAAAAACTAGTCTTAGCTGAGGTTGGACTGATTTCTGAACTAAAGAAAAATCAATACTGTTGTACACACACCGCTTAATTTAAGATTTACCTTTTGAATTTAAAGGGCATGTTGCTTGCTCTCATTTTTCAGTCTTGGGCCTGTTTGGCCCTGCCAAAGGCTGAGTTGCTTATTTTTTTTAAGAGGCAGGGTCTCACTGTCATCCAGGCTGAAGTGCAGTGGTACAACTATAGCTCACTGCAGCCTCCAATTCCTGGGCTCAACCATGAGAAGCTGGGACTACGGGTACGTGCCACCATGCCCAGTCAATTTAAAAAAAAAACCTTTTTATAGAGATGGAGTCTCACTATGTTGCCCAGGTTGGTCTCGAAATCCTTGCCTGAAGTGATCCACCTCAGGCTCCCAAGTACTGGGGATTACAAGTGTAAGCCACCACACCTAGCTCAGGATTGTTCATATTTGCTTGGGGCTGAGGAGTTAGAGGAATAAAAAGAAGGAAGGGGGAGGGCTAGCAGTTTTAAGAACTCTGAAGCCTACTTCTTACAATTGAATGTGACAAAAAGAAAGGCTACCTACCTCCTTCTGTCTAAAACCCTCCCCTCCCCTCTGTGTTCCTCACTGTCTGACTGACATCCCAAGAGCTTGTTCGAGGTAAATCTGACAGAAAATGAACTTAGCCATAATTCCACTTAGCAGTATTTGGTAGTTACAATTATAATGGGGAAAAGTTTGTGTTTAGGTATTCCATTTTATCTTCTCAAAATGCTGCTTTTTTTTTGTTGCTGTTCTTTTAAGAATAGTGAAGGTTTCAACAGACCCCAAATAATTTCTTTCTATATTTTCTGGTTAGTAGTCCTTCAATAAAGCAAAACTGAAGCAATCGTAACTTTGAAAAAAGTTTATCATTTTTTTTGGAGACAATCTCACTCTGCTGTGCAGGCTGGGGTACAGTGATGTGATCCTAGCTCACTGTAATCTCAAACTCCTGGGCTCAAGTGATCGTCCTGGTCTTCCAAGTTGCTGGGATTACATGTGTGAGCTATCGCACCCAGCGAGATCTTAACTTTACTTATTTATTCGAGTTGGGATCACCCAGGCTGGAGTTCAGTGGCACGATCAAGGTGCACTGTAGCTTTGAACTCCTGAGCTCAAATGATCCCCCCTCCTCAGCCTCCTGGGTAGCTGGGACTACAGGCATGCACCATTATGCCTAGCTAATTTTTTAATTTTTATTTTGTAGAGAAGAGGTCTCACTATGTTGCCTAGGCTGGTCTTGAACTCCTGGGCTCAAGCAATCCTCCCACCTTGTCCTCCCAAAGTGCTGGGATTACAGGCGTGAGCCACATTGTCCAGCCAAGATCTTTTTTTTTTTTGAGTCGGAGTCTCACTCTGACGCCCAAGCTGGAGTGCAGGGGCACGCTCACAGCCACCGCAGCCTTGACCTGCTGGGCTCAGGCGATCCTTCCATCTCAGCCTTCCAGGTAGCCAGAACTACAGACGCACGCCTGGCTATTTTTTTTTTTATTTGTTATTTACTGTAGAGACGAGGTTTCACCAAGTTGCCCAGGCTAGTCTTGAACCCCTGGGCTCAGGCATTCCTCTCACCTCGATCTCCCAAAGTGCTGGGATTACAGACTGAGCCGTCGTGCCCGGCTGATCTTAACTTTTTAATGAAAAAGGTTATGATGAACATGGCAGTGGATCCCAGATGACACAGATACTGCTGGGCATTGACAGGATGCCCCTAAGAATACTTTCTATAAGCCTTTCTCACCCAAGCGGAACATTAAAACTTGCAAACCAAAAAGAAAATAAAATTGGTTTATAAAGTAATGTACACAAAGCCTTGATCTGTAGGTGAGGGGTGGAGAAACAACTATTGAAATGCTGAACTTACTGTTCTAGCTCCCACCCCTCCTAGACACTGCAAAGGTCTGAAATCAGCATTTTTACCTGCTGGGGTGAGTATCAGGGCTTGCAGAATGTCTGACAGGGAAATAATACCCACAATACTATCTGCTTCATTCACTACCACCAGCCGATGTACCTGCCAAGAGAAAAGTAAGACACATTAACATTTAAATGAAAGATAAGTTTTAGAAATGGACACTGAAAAAAATGTCATTCACATACTTATACAATGAATTACATCTCACAAATGAGAGAAAGTCACAACAGATGGAACCACATGCAGGTCTTTGGCTCTAATGTTAAGATGTAATGCTGATTTGTTTGTCCACTTTTAGGATAAATGAGCCAGCTACATCCTGCTGAGTTTTCAAATTTCAAAATATTAACATAGGGAAGATACAACTCAGAACGTGAAGTACAATGTAGTTATATTCTCTTAAACATAGCCAGGTATGGTGGCTCACGTCTGTAGTCCTGGTGCTTTGGGACGTGGAGGCAGAAGGAGCACTTGAGCCCTGGAGTTTGAGACCAGCCTGGGCAACATAGTGAGACCCCATCTCTATGGAAAATAAAAATTAAAAAATTAGCTGGGTGTGGTGGTGTGCACCTGTGGTCCCAGTTACTCAGGAGGTTGAGGTAGGAAAGGATCGCTTGTGCCAAGGAAGTTGAGGTTGTAGTAAGTTATGATTGCACCACTGCACCACAGCCTAGTTTCTATAAAAAAAAAATTCTCTTAAACATAACAGTTTTTAATTTTAAATGTTGTATCTCAGTTTCTAATAACTGTGGGATACTTGTTTTACATGGAAAAGAAGCCCAAGTGACTCTGGAAACTAAGAAACAGGGTCACTGCTCTTAGATTGTTTTTTATTTTCTGTAGTATCTTTCTCAAGAAGTTCATATATTAAGAATAATATTCAAGAGGACAAATGAGCTATAACAAGTGAAACAGATTATATTGCTCTAGTTTTCTATACTCCAAAGTCTTATAAATGAACGGAGAGTGTTTTGAGGTGTAACAAAGCATCCTAACCACGGAAAAGGAGTGAGCACACCATCGCTATTCTGACTTAAAAGCTTCGGAACCTAAGCTTCTGTCACGTAGCCTGGAGGGCAGTGGCACGATCACAGCTCACTTCAGCCTTGACCTTCTGGGCTCAGGTGATCCTTCTGCCCCAGTCTCCCATATAGCTGGAACTGCAGGCATGTGCCACCATGCCCAGCTAATTTTTATTTTTATTTTTGTAGAAATGAGGTCTCACTATGTTGCCTAGGCTGGTCTTGAATTCCTGGATTCAAGCAATCCTCTCACCATGGCCTTCTTAAGTGCTGTGATTACAGGCATAAACCACTGCACCTGGCCTAAATAACTTAAATTTTTTTTTTTTTAATTTTAAAGATATGGGGTACAATTCAGGGTTAGGTATACAAATGTTCATGATGCAGGTACCCTTGTTGATGAGGTGTGCCCCCCTCCCCTGGCAGTTTCCTACTACTGCCAATCCCTTTCTTATAGTATTGTGATAAATATCTTTTGAACTACTGAAGGTCAAGGGAAAAGCATCTCACACATAGAATTAAGTAATTCTACCAGACAGAAATGGTCATCTGTTGCTGAGTCTAAACTTACGAATGTTGCTTGTCAGAGGGACTAAAAGTAAGTGCTATATTTATGTCATATAAATGAACTGAATCATTACTGATACTGTATACCTTAAAACTAAAAACTGGTTTATGTACCCCGGTGCGGAGTCTTGTGAAATAATTTTAATGAGGAAAAAAGTCAAGATGTATTCCTAAGTTAATTAAAACCCTTTGGAAAGCAAGTAGTGATGGATATTAAATTTGAGTAGAAAAAGGAAAGATTCTAGTGAAACATAGCAAACATATTAGAAGCTGGAATGGTGAGGCTGGGGGAGTTACCCCTGACGGCTGCAGGGTGGGGTGGAATTCCTGAACATAACCTAAAGACCAGGTGGATTTCTAATAATGATGGCTTTTGTGAGGGACAGTTGGGTTTGATGCCCTATAAGATCGCATGTGACTTTCAGAAAGCAAGTTAAAGTTGCCTGTTATTAGTCTAAAAATAATCAGGTACTTTTTTCCTTAGACTGTACTTTTGCATTTATAATAATATCAAAACAGACTTATACATTAATATTGTCTAATTAGGGATTGTTCCAGAAGGATTAGAATTGTATTCATCCATCCTAAAGAGTGACAAACAGGAGAACATTCCTATTCCTTTCTAACAAGAAAGGAAAGAAATGATTTTGGGAATGAGTATGCTGAATTTGATATGCTATAAAACGATCTCTCTCAACTTTTTTTTAAGGGTGTTATGCAAAGTATACTTGAAAATCCTATAAGCATAAGAGGTCTGAGTGCAGGGGCTCAGGAGGCTGGGAGCTACCAGACCATTTACTGTTTATCTAAATCAGCAAAGAGACAGGAATACTGGTGGGAAGAGAGAAAACTACTTTAATGTAAAGGTTTATTTTATTGATCATTCACTTTCTTAAAATGATATACATTATACACGGAATTCATAATTATTCTAATGGAACTTAAAGCCTCTGGGACACTTTGGTTTTCTCAAGTACATATTTTTTGAACTAACAATGTATCTTACCAGTTTATTTAACAATGACATCAGGACTTAGAAGTTCAATTCAATTCAACTCAACAAACTTTTATAGGTTGACCACTATGTGCCAAATGGCATGCTAGGTTCTGGGACAGGAAAGAACACAACCCACTGAACTTGAAAGTTTCTTCACTGGGCCTCTCCTGGGATCCAAGCTTCCCAAGGCCCTACTTGGGACTTGCCTCGGTGTGGCTGTGGGGAGCGGGGAACTGGGAACGCCCTCTCACCTCAGCTCTTACTATTCTGTCCACAATGGTCTCCAGTATCTCCAGCTTATTGCACTTCACAACACCTTCGAAATACTGTGATCGGTGCTGAAGGGCCTGGGTCACTGTGATATCTAGGTTATTGTACGTTTTCTCAGCAGCAAGATTCTGTAAGAAAGTAACAGATAAATTATATCCCTTCATTTCTAGTCACATCAATGACCAAACTCAGTAAGCTTGACAACCTGAGTTCTTAAAATGTTAATGTTTATCTTAATTTGGTACCCCTGTACACCAAAGTTCCCTCTTTCCAGCCTTGTAAGCTATCAGTATTGTTATTTCATCAACTTATCTACCATAATTAAATACCTCATTCTACAAGGTAGAACTTAATTATGAGGCAACACTGTTAAATTCTGATAGCATATCCTGCCAAAGATTTCCCCCATTTTTACCGCCTGGTGCTCTATACCACACGTGAATAAAATCTTTTGAGAGATGGACATTTGTAAAGGGTGACAAGTGCCACAGGGCTAGAAACCTGCATCAAGGGACTTTCCCAACAAGCTCCCTGGGGAACAAGGTTTCTTTTGCTGGGAAGGCTTTGGGAGACCCACTGGAATCAGGCAACTCTGGAGGTAGAACAGGTCTGACAAGCCCTGAAGACCCAAATGGCTTCCCAGGGTTCTAATTAACTTTAGGAGTCCCACTCAACCCAAATTCCATAAACATATTTCTTGGTCTTTATTATGTTAAATAAAATAGGATGAATCAAATGGGTCGAGACTGCTGTGAAAGAATGTTTAATGCAGAGTCAATATTCTAGCAAAAAATGATGTGCACATTTGGGGTTATCAAACCAACAGTTCCCTTTTCTTCTTTAGAGCAGTGGCTCCAAATCAAGCAACTGGATGCATGTGACAGAGGAGCCATGAATTCATGTGTGCACTCAGCACATGTCTAGAGGCAGAATAAATATCTCCCACGAGGAAATATGACCATTTAAAACATATACATATGCTGTAGTGATGGAGAGAATATGCATACACTGAAAACCCAGAGGATTATAAAATGCTACTAACATAATTCACTGCTAACCAATAAATAATAAAAGTACAATTACTATGGAGAGTCTATGAAATTTTGATGATATCCTCATATTCAAAAAAGTTAGGAGTTGTTAATTTAGAAAAAAAGAGAAAAACATAAAAATAAATAAAATGCACTCAAGATGACAAGTTTAACAAAATTAAAAATACTTACAATTACATCAAACTTGGAATAAATATCTACAACTTTTCCTAAAAATGAAAATATATGTTAGAAAATTATCTTAAGAATAGAAAAATAACTCATTTACAGTTAGCTTTAACTACATAATTACTAAGCATTAAATGCTGGTAAATAGTCTTGTCTATTTTTATATTTCATTTTAAATTTTTTCAGAGACAATGTCTTACTGTTGCCCAAGCTGGAGTACAGTGGTGAGATCACAGCTCACTCAGCCTCCAAACTCCTGGGCTCAGGCGATCCTCTCACTTCTGCTTCCTGAGTAGCTGGAACTATGGGCACATGCCACTATGCCCGGTCAATTTTTTCGGAAAGACAAGGTCTTGCTATGTTGCCCACGCTGGTCTTGAATTCCTGGCCAAAGCACTGGGATTGCAGGCATTAGTCACTATACTATGCTTGCCCTGTTGTCTCTATTTTTAAATGGACATGAAATCCTATCTTAATGGAAATATGAAAATAAAGCAGTTTAAAGTTCTTATTATCTGTGTGCTCCTTGGTGAATTTATTCACCTTATTTTATTTCCTTTTTTTTTTTTTTTTGAGTTGAAGTCTCAATCTGTTGTTCAGGGTAGTGTGCAGTGGCATACTGACAGCTACTGCAGCCTTGACTTACTGGGCTCAGGCATTCCTTCCACCTCATGCTTCCAACTAGCTGAACTACAGGTGTGTACCACCATGTCCAGTGAATTTTTTGATTTATTGTAGAGACAAGGTCTTGCCAAGTTGCCCAGGCTGGTCTCGAACCCCTGGGCTCAGATAATCCTCTCGCCTCCACCTCCCAAAGTGCTGAGATTACAGGCATGAGTCACCATGCCCGACTTATTTACATTTTCATTTCCCCCAGTTGTGTGATATGCTAGGTCATTTCACAATACTTTATACCCTGAGATAAGCAGTTATTTCTGTTCAAGTGGTATGGCTGACATACAAACCCACAAACCTGATTCATCCACAACAGGCAAAGCTGATATTCGTCTTTCCACAAATATGTTCAAGGCTTTAATGATAGGAGTGTCTGGATGTATAAAGGCAATGTTGTGGTATGTTCCTATTCCAAGCTCATCCAGGTTCTGCTTCATAAAGGCAGGCTTTGGCATATCAGACATCTGAACAGGAAGATAAATGCAGATGTTCTAGACCCAACATATAATCTTTCATGTTCAAATGTCCAGATTTGAATGAAAAACTATGTCCAACAAATTAATGTTAGCTTTTTCTAACAGTCTACCTGGATGTCTGAATTAATATGAAAACAATTACGTATAAGAATTGACTCTTTTGTTCAAATCAGTTTGTACATCTATGCTTATATTTAACTACTTTGTAAAATACTGCAACACATTAACATTGTAACTTTTCCCCCTTTCCTTTTCATTTTCTAAAGTCATGTATAGAACAAGGGAAAAACAGGTCTATTTGGGAAATTGAGACCTGTACACACCAAGAATTGAATCTTTTATTCTTAATTATTTAAGTTAAATTCCTGGTCCTGCTGTCAGTATTAAGTCATATTTATTAAGAACCCACACACCTGACAGAGGCTGTCTGAGTCGCTGCTAAGCTAGTTCTCACACCACCCACCTCTACATCCTGAATTCTCCTTAAAGGACTCCGATTTTTTCCACTAAGAACAATGAACAAGCCAGCTGAACAGAATTAAAAGAATCTTTAAAAATTAACTTTTCTTTTCATGGGTTGTTTTAAAGGAGGAGGGATAAGTCAGAAGAGAAAAGTCTAGGATCATGTTTGACTATAACAAGATAAGGTCTACGGTTTCAAAAATCCACCTTTTATAAAGGGTATAGTTGCTTCCATCCTCCTGGTGTACCTTATAATTATCAGGAAAAGATGAACAATTAGAAGAAACAAAATGTTCAAGTCAAAGAGTTCATCAATATTCAAATCATGAGAATCCTAGAAATTTAGAGAAAAAAAAGAAAGACCTATTAGGTCATCTAGTCCATCTCAGTATAGGATAATTCCCTGTTGTAACCAATATGCTTAGGCTAATTTTCAAATGTCTTGAAGGGTAATGTTACTTTTTTCAGGAAATGATCTCATACTTCAGTAAAATCAGGCTCTGAAATTTCTTTATTTAAATTCTATATTTTTGTCTGAAAACCTCTAGCTGAATATTCTGTTAGCATGAGTCTAATTACCATATTGGCCCAAATATGAGGCAGTACTGGGCAGAGAGGCAACTTCCTTTACTTTTTATAGAAGAGAAAAATCTAAAGTAGCTCTGCAGAGGAATGAGCTCACACTTCCACTCCTTCTTGGGTGGCAGACAGCACCACAGCAGGAATGGTCTGGGCTTGGGAGTCAGAGAGACTTCTGGGTTTGAAATCTGCCACTTGATATGTGTATGACTTAGGGCATATTTCTGAGCCGGGAGCCTCGAGTACAGCAGGAGTTACCAGCGCCTACCTCCCAGGGCTGCTAGCTGGAGGAGAGTATCGGAGATGAAGAGGGTGTTGCAGAATCCGAACGCCTGGCTCGGATACCGCTCTGTCACCTACCAGCCATGTGACCTTGACAAAGCTACTGAACCTTGCTGAGCTGCATCACTGATAAGAGGGAATTAATAAAAATACCTACCTGATACAGCAGTAGTGAGGATGAGATTTATTATGTAAAGTGCTTAGAATGGCGCAGGACATATGGTAATCAGTTCTCAAGATTGATATTATTTAAAAGTTATTACTCTAAGGATTAAATGAGCTAGCTACAAGCCTGGTACACGCGGACCCCAAACACATGCTCCCCTCTCCTATTAAGCCTCAACTACTAAGGCTACTGCATTTCCAAGATGTAAAGTCTGATAAACAATATTTATGGATCTCTAATCCTTTTTTCCTAGATTGTCTCTTCATTAAACTTCATGCTGTTTTTGTAAATGACCCTCCTTCTTCCTATCTTTCTTAGCATTTATTGAACAATGCTGTGCTCTCTACATACATAAGCTATTCAGATATAGGCCTGTTTGACCCACAATGTATTTCAATCACTAAGCCCTCTGTGCTTCTGTCAGCAAAAGTGGCCCTTCAAGGCTGCTTCCAGGGAGGGCGCCAGCTCCCTCACATCGCACTAGAATGCTATTTTAGTTCCTTATGGATGCTGTGGAGAAGAAAATAGGAAAGCGAATTTGAAGTAGATTTTCAATATCTGTTACATTCTTTAAAAAATGACTCTTCAAATTACCTCTTCAGAACCATTAATGCTTCCTAAGGGTTCTGTTTGACCACTTATTTATAACCTTAAGTTCAGTGCATGTAATTAAAAGGAAAAATAAAACCCCTCTCATAAACTCCTTGTTCCTTCTGAGTCTCTCTTAATGTTGCCGACCAAAGAGGTTCTGAGTTCTGGATGATTATGAAACCAGTTCATTTCAAAAGCAACTGAGAAAATCTACAGATAATATAGGCCTAATTTGGGCCAACATGGTATTCTCTTGCCAAAATTTTACTTACTTTGGGTTTTTCTTTCACTGCTGTGGTTTATAATAAGATAATCTTAGGGATAGTATTTTTTTTAAACATGTTTCTAAATCCATGACACCAATAAAAGCATCATAAAGCAATTTTTGCTCTAGAGATTGGCTCAATTTGTCTTGTACAGCAGTACTTAATAAGACTGACTTGCAAGTTCTGTCTTCCTAGATGATAAAATGTTTTAATTTAAACAGAGAATGCAGTGTTTTCATTGTTTTGATATTTGCACTGAGAGATGATTGTTTTTTAATTGGAATCAACTTTGAGAATGTACAATTCAAATAGTAGTAAGTTGAGAAACTGAAGTTTAGAAAGGGAGATCTCAAAACTAACAATTTTTTTCTATTGAGGGTAACAGGAGCCAATTTACTTGAAATAAGTTAAAGTAAATGCAATTATGTCTTTAGAAACGCTAAAAACTACTTACAAAAAGCTGGAGGAACTTGAGGATTCTTTTGTGGGTAAGTATATAAAGTGCATTCCCACTGATAGGGTCAATAACTGGCAATCTGTGGATTTTATTTTTGATCAACGAGTATACAGCATCGAAGAGGCTGTGGGAAAAGCCATTACAGTTGTTAGGAGGCTTTAAAGAAAAATCAGAAAATTTTGAACCACCCCACCTTAAAGCATTTCCAGTGTTTTTTATATTACAATAACCACAGTGTTTTGGGAAAGTTTTAAATTACAGATCTCAGCATTTAAAAAAAATTTTTCACAATCTGTGTTTAATATAGCTCAAATACAAGTATGATCTACAAGTATCTAGGAGTTTTTTAATAGTGCATTTAGTGTTCTTGTATAAAAGATGACAAAACCTAAACCCTCAGGGAAGCTAACAGACTCATAACATTATATTCACAGAGCGAGCTGTGGCAACAGGCTCCCTGGACTGGTGAACCAGCGACCGGTTCTGCCTCTGTGTCAGTCAGCTCGTAGGTTTTGCAGGGTTTCTGTAGACTACTGTTCTACCCAGGGTTTCTCCTGTGACTGCCAGTAAGGAGGCTTGGTGGGTTTATCATTTTGTTAGGATTTGGAAACAAAGTAATAACAATAAATATTTTGCTTTTTCTCTGTAGGGGTCTTGAGTTTTAAAGATGCTTTTATGCAAATGTGAAAATGTATCAGAGCCATCCCAGAAGGCTTAGATAAAAAAGGATGAACCAAAACACTGTAGAGAAGGTAGCTCGCTCTTCTGACCACCTTTGAACCAGTGTTGATTGTACACTGATTTTTAAAGGCAAGTGTGGATCAGAATTTCTGGGGGAATTGCTGAAATGCCTATTCCTGGGCATTACCCTCTTAAGACTCACTTGGCTTGATAAGGCCAGAATCTGATTTTCACACACCACCTAGACTGGTTTTGCTACAAGTGATTGAGATTTCCAAGACTACTTGGTATGACCATATTTCTAGTCCATTAGCAAACCTTTGACACAACCATGGCTGTGTTTTCTACTGTCCCTAAATTTACTGAATTTAGTGCAGTGTATTTGGAATTAAGGAGGTGTGCCCTGTCTAGGTTGAAGAATAAGTTTTTTCTATCATGATAATAAAACAGATAAATCTTTATGAATGTTTTCAAAGAACAAGAACTACAAGTTTACCTTGCATCTGGAGATATATTCACTAAAGGCTTAAATGTTTCTTGTAAATAAAGTTCTGTATTTATAGAAAGAAAGTATACAGTTAGTAACATATTTACTGTTTGTGGTTATTTCATAAATTCAAATAACCTTCAGTTTACAGACGATAATTAGGTTTAAAAACTCAAATCAATAGAAACTTACTTTGCCTAAAACTATTGTGTTAACTAAAGTCATGGCTATTTTAAACAACTTTCAAGGTATTTTCAGGATGTTGCTTTTTAAGAAAAACTAAATATTAAAAAACAACATAACAAATGCTTATAAAATCAGGGAAAAAAACCAAGAAGTCTAATATAAAAGAGCAATACCAGCAGAGGTCACTAGAATGCTATCAAGTTACTATTACCTTCAAGAAATGAATTATGAAAGCCTTTAAAACTATTTTTCTTTTCTTTCTTTTTTTTTTTTTTAAGTTGGAGTCCCACTCTGTCGCCCAGACTGGAGTGCAGTGGCCGCTCCCGGCCGCCACAGCCTCGACCTGCTGGGCTCCGGTGATCCTTCCGCCTCAGCCTTCCAAGTAGCTGGAACTACAGGCATGTGCTACCACGCCCGGCTAATTTTTTTTTGTTTTGATTTATTGTAGAGATGAGGTCTCGCTAAGTTGCCCAGGCGGGTCTCGAACCCGCAAGCTCAGCCAGTCCACTCACTTCAGCCTCCCAAAGCGTGGGATTACAGGCTGAGCCAATTGAGCCCGGCTGCAAAACTATTTTTCATAAGTTATAAGATAACGTCAGTTATAAAAAACTTTGTTGTTTAAATGTTCTCAAGTATTATTTTACCAGATTAATGCTCAAAGCCTACTGCATCTTGGGACTCTTTCTAGCATATAAAGGTTTTTTTCTAAGGGTATTGACTGTAATTAATTTGCTTTACTGAGGTTTCCATACAGAAGGCATTTAAGACTATTTCAGAATTACTATTACTACCAAATATCATATAATGTCAAAATGTAAATACACTTAATGCTTGGTCTAACAGTACTTGTCAGTAGAAATTGATAAGAAGTATCTGTTTTGGTGATAAGTTACATTATTACTTCATCATAGGCCACATGGATCCTATGTTGACTTAATATGTTTAGGTTGGCTTGATAAAGTCATAATAAATCAAATACATCACTAAATGAAACTTCTCCATCATATGGAATTAAAAGAGCTGAAGAGCTTCAGCAAATGCTAAGCAATGTTCAGATCACAGCCAGTTACAAAGGTTGCTTATCCTCCTATCATCAAGCATATTATAGGAAGCACAAAGCCAAACTCCTCAATTTCAAATTTGAAATTTTCCTTTAGTTGGTGCCTCCATGTCTACTGGCTTTTTCTTGAACACCCTGCAAAGGCTCTGCTGTTGCAGAGAGAGTGGGTCCTCAGTGATTCCCACCCCAGGCTGCTGATTCGCCTCAACAGGCTCTCTCCACCCACAATCCCCCATGACAAGCCTCATGAACACGACCGATGCCACAATTGTGAAATGAGAATTTAAAAAATGGTCCCACTGCAGAAAAGAGTATGATTTTACAGGGTGAATTCTAATGTGACAAATAAAGGAACATGGTCGTGAAGTTATTTCCACATCATTTGAGCCAAATCATCTAGCTCAAGGTTCATTTGTCTTATGTTTCTCCATCATTTTCAAATAATCTGCATTTGTAAAGAAGTAATTATTAAGTTAAGTACAGATGCTTGCTTTTGTTAAAGTCTTTGTTGCATTTTGTATACAAAGACAAACTTTTGAGTTTTACTTAGTAGGGAACCGTGGCTTCATTGAGGGCAGAGAATGGGCCTGGTTAACTCATTCACCTTTATGCTCCCAGTCCTAGTATAAGGCCTTGCAAGCTGTAGATGCTGCATATGTGTATATTAAGCAGAATGGACAATGTTTATAGTAGTATGGCATACTATCAAAATTACAATAAAAATAAGTAGAAATTTTAACATTTTACTTATTTTCTTTAATTCAATAGCCTTAGGGGGTACAAACAGTTTTTGGTTCCATGGATGAGTTGTATAGTGGCCAAGAACTCTGGGCTTTAAGTGTACCCACCACCCCCACCAGTGCATATTAAGCAGAAAGAAAAGGATCTGCAAAATTAACACTATGAATAACATTTTCCCTGATATTAAAAGATTTTTATTATCCAATAGTGCTTACCCCTCCATGTTTCAATCTTATGTTCCTCTAATTCATAAATCTGTACCTGCAAATAAGAAAAATTCTTATTTACGAATGCTAACATATATAACAAAAAAAAACACATGGAAAATGAAATAAAATATAGCTTTCATAGTAGCATTTTTCTGTTCATTACTGTAAAATAAGGTGAGATGTGGAGGGAAAAAATGTATCTTCAAATATTAAGAAAAACTTTAGGTTGTATATTTAGAAATAACTGTTTTTTAGCAATTTTGATTTAATAAACTGCTGAGATTTGTTATATGGAATTTGCTGCATTTCGTTTCTTTTTTAAGTCAGTAGCCCAGGCTGGGGTGCAGGGGCATGATCACGGCCACCGCAGCCTGCTGGGCTCAGGCAATCCTTCCGCCTCAGCCTTTCAAGTAGCTGGAACTACAGACGCAGGCCACCACGCTGGTTTTTTTTGGTGATTTATTGTAGAGACAAGGTCTCACCCAGTTGCCCAGGCAGGTCTTGAACCTCTGGGGTCAGGCAATCCTCTTGCCTCGGCCTCCCAAAGTGCTAGGATTACAGGCTGAACCACTGAGTCCGGCCCAGAAAAACATAGTTTTTAAGTTATATTCTTCCAGGACTGTTGGATCAGGGACCAGAGACTTCTGCCATTAAAAATAGCCATCTTTTCCTAATTGGCAAGAAAATGTTGAAACTAAAGTTATTCATTTTAGCTACTCCTTTTCTCTTTTTTAAAGTCACAGAGTAAGTACATATAGTTCATGTTATAAATTGCCAGGATAGCTGAATCAAGCTCTACCACATCAACAGGCCCATAGAGATGAGCCCAGTAATAATGTCATCTCGAGAGAGGCCATTCCTGGGTCAGCCACCGAGAGGACAGTGTGGTGGGACAGCGCCTCCTTCCTCCACAGTCCAGGCAGATGCTCAAAACTGTAACATGTGCCCATAATGCCGTTAAAGATCAAGTATCATGAGTAGTAAAATTTATAAAATGTCTAGCTAATAATATGTAGAATTCTACCAACCCAAGGGATTCTGAAAGCTGAACAAAGAATCTATTTCCTTTTATTTTTCCCAAGAATACCTTTTTTGAGCTCGAAATATATGACTTAGGGCTAAAGCTAGCTGTTTATTCGAATTAACAGTTTTATGTTCCCTGCACATTGTATATAACTGAGAAATCAACCACCACCCCTGTATCAAAAAAGAAAAAAACACAAAAATAAAAATCATAACACACACACAGTTTATACACACACACAGATATACAACAGCTCCAATTACTGAAACAGGTTTTGGTGCCACTTACCATAGGTGATTTATAGTATCTATGTAGAATATTTATGAAATCTGTAATTGTTAGCATTCCTGGAACAAAGAGTTATATGTTAAAAATAAACTAAGAAAACATAAAAGAGAAATTTCAAGTGATAAGTGAACCTAGAATATTTACTAGAAAAGCATGTAAAATAGACTTTGAAGCTATCAGAGTTTAATACATTATTTAATACTATGAATGTGTTAATTATCCACATTAAACTAGATATACAAATTTAGCTAAAATTAAACCTGATAGTGAGTACACCAAAATTAATCATCATACTTGGCAAATCAGTGAGATAAAACATACTAATTGTTATAAAATATCAAAAATGAATTGCAGCTATATGTAAATAATTTAAAAACTTTAAGATAAAGTTTTATTCCATAAGCTTTAGAAATACTAGGGCAGCCGGGCTCGGTGGCTCAGCCTGTAATCTCGCGCTTTGGGAGGCTAAGGTGAGTGGATTGCCTGAGCCCGCGGGTTCGAGACCTGCCTGGGCAACTTGGCGAGACCTCATCTCTATAGTAAATCAAAAATCAGCCGGGCATGGTAGCGCATGCCTGTAATTCCGGCTACTAGGAAGGCTGAGGCAGAAGGATCACTGGAGCCCAGCAGGTCGAGGCTGCAGTGGCCGGGAGCGGCCACTGCACTCCAGTCTGGGCAACAGAGTGAGACTCCAACTCAAAAAAAAAAAGAAATACTAGGGCACTTGGATTGCTTCCTGAGAGGCATTCTAAAAACAATGGCTTTAACAGTCACCATCTACTGAATGCTTACAATGTGCTAGACACTACACTACAAGGATGAAAAAAGTATGACCTTTTTATCTGAGAAACTTATAACCTAGAAGGGGAGGCAGACATAAGTAATCTCAAAATAATGTGATGAATATTAAGAAAGATGATATCATTGTCTAGTTAATGATTTATAAGATGAAAAATGATGGTGTCTAAATAGTTATATGTTATATAACATTTTAAAATAGCGTAACAGTGATTTGGTAAAAACATCAATAATGGTTCCAGCATTTCATTTGCCCTGTCAAAAAGGTGTGAACTGACGAGATAAGTGCGATGGACCAGGAATGGTACATAATATATGTGGCCCATAAGCAGGGTGGCTAACTCATGGCTGACCACGGTATCCTGTGGGCTGGTAAAGGCATGAAGTTCCTTCACAGGACAAAAAAGTTGCTAAATGAAAATAAATTCAGGCCAGGCATGGTGGCTCATGTCTATAGTCCCAGCACTTTGGGAGACTGAGGTGGGAGACTTGCTTGAGCCCAGGAGCTCGAAACCAATCTGGGCAACATAGCAAGACCTTGTTTCTACCAAAAATTAGCTGAGCATGGTGGTGTGTGCTTGTAGTCCCGCTACTCGGAAGGCTGAGGCAGAAGGATCACCTGAGCCCAGGAGGTTGAGGCTGTGGTGAGCCCTGGTTGTGTCATGGCACTCCAGCCTGGGTGACAGAGTAGATTCTTTTTTGACTCAAAAAAAAAAAAAAAAAAATCAACTGAAAAAAAAGCAACTCCATAAAAGTACAACAGTGTTTTGAATTTACTAGCAGTCCTGCCTTCCCCAGTACTAAAAGTACTGAAAGCAAGAATGTTCTTTAATTTGATAACATGTTTACTAGCTTGGATTCCAAGTCAGCACCTATTAAAATACTTCAGGCTTTCTGCTGCATGTTTCCCATTTTAGATTTTCCCCAGGCCCACACTGCTTACCTACAAAACTTTGTTTTTTACTCTCCCACAGTGGCGCCGCTCGGACACCGTTGGCTACCAAGGCAAAGAAGGCCTTTTTAACCTGAAGCAAAACAAGAGAAACAAAAAGTACTTTTCACGTTTGTAGATCAGGAAGAAAAATATCTTCAACTAATATATTCAATCAAGCCTCATTAGTTATCTTCAGTGATAAATTGTATAAGTTTGATAAGCTAAATATAACATAAATGATTAACATTAGCAGAAATCCTTTTCTATTATGCCTAATGGCATATAAGGGTTGGAGACTGTTTTTTGAAACTGAAATAATGCAATTATCTTCAATTTTTTTCTTACTGTATTTAAAGAATCTTGTCTATATAGACTTTATATAATTAAAACCATACAAAAAATTAAACTTCAGAGTCTAATTTCTTCTATATATGGTTATTAATTCATTTAAGAACACTAAAGTTATAACAAATTACTTGAAATAAAAATCTGTTTTTAATATATTCAATAATGATACAAACACACTTTTTTTATTTCCCCAAATTACTAATTCAGCATCTATTCATGTAAGGTATGAAAGATACAATATAGTTGCACTTTTATGTCTTCTAGAGATGAATATTTACTGTGTGCATAATACAGGTCAAGCGCCGTTCAGATTACATTTACATACAGGATCTAATTTAATACTCATAACAAAGAGCTTTAGATACTATAAGGTGTCATGATTTAATGATAGCCAAAAGTTCAGTGCTGAAAATGATCCTTCAAATTCAGACGGCAAATAAACAGAGGCAAAATAGTTCAACCTTTTTACTAACCCAAGAAAATCAAATGAAAAACTTAAAGTATCATTTATAGCTGTTAATTAAGCCAATATTTTTAAAGTTATAGCTCCTAATACAAAGGTTATTATAAAACCACTGATGGAACCATAAATTGATAAAATATTTTTTTAACCACAACTTTGTATCAAGAATCACAAAAATATACATGCTGTTTCTGCAACAGCCTTTTCTCTTTTGAATTAGTTTAGATTCCTAAGTCAAAGGTGTTCAATGTGGCATTATTTGTAATCTTGACAACTGGAAAAATATCTACTTCCCCAAACAAAAGAAAACTTGTTAAATACTAGCATACCAATGAGAAAAAAGTATCAAATAATATAATTATGAAGACTGTGTTGAAGAAAAAAATGTTTATGACAGTGAAAAGTGCAGACTGTGAAATAATACATTATAATACTTATATATAAAATATGTATTTAAATGGAAAAGATTAAAGAGAATTAAGCAAAAATAAAAGATGTAAAATAAGTATTTCTTTTTAAAATGTGTTAGTTTTTTTTAACTAAAAGAAAATGCTTCTCTTCTCACCTACTATATAAAAAACTCCCCATTAACCAAATAATGAATAGAAATGGTTAAGAATTACAGGATTCATTCAGCACTTACTTATTTCTTTATTGTGACACATTTTGCTTTTTTTGAATAGGAGTCTCACTCTGTTGCCCATACTGGAGTGCAGTGGCCGCTCCCGGCCACCACAGCCTCGACCTGCCGGATCTCTGGCGATCCTTATGCCTCAGCCTTCCAAGTAGCTGGAACTACAGGTGCGCGTTACCACACCCAGCTAATTTTTGATTTATTGTAGAGATGAGGTCTCACCAAGTTGCCCAGGTGGGTCTCGAACCCGCAGGCTCAGGTGATCCACTCACCTCAGCCTCCCAAGGCGTGGGATTACAGGCTGAGCCACCGAGCCCAGCTCACATTTTGCTTTTATGTAGAATTACTTATGTATGTGACTGTTCACCAACATAAGAGTATAATGACTAGTGGTGGGTAAGGGATCTCATTAATTATTTCATACTCTTACTTTAACCCAGCCCAACGCTGTGTCCTGAATAGAGCAGGGATTCTACCTATTAGATAAATGAACTGGCAGAGAACTAAGATGAAGAGGTAAGTAGAGCCAGTGATACAGGAGAGAAATAGTAACTAAGTGACACCCATATACTGAAATATTTTTCATCTATATCTTGTATTAAGAATCACAAATGTACTCATACTGTTTGTGTAACCAAATGGTATCTAGGGAAGGTGTGTCAATTTTGAATGGTTTGCTATTTCTACCTGGATGGTACCCTGGGAATCCGTGACCATGGGCCTAGAAAATATTATAAGAGGATATGGTGGAAAAGTCACATATAAATAGATCTTAAGCCAGGTGTGGTGGCTCACACCTATAATGCCAGCACTTTGGGGGGTGGTGATGAGAGGACTGTCTGAGCCTTGGAGTTTGAGACCAACCTGGACAACTTTGGGGAGACCTTATCTCTACAATAAATCAAGAAAAATTAGCTGAGTGTGTTGGTGCACACCTGTAGTTCCAGCTACTCAGAAGGCTGAGGCAGAGGAATTGTGTGAGTCTAGCAGGTCAAGGCTGCGGTGGCCATGAGTGTGCTACTGCACTATAGCCTGTGCAACAGAGTGAGATTAAAAAAAAAAAAAAAATTAAAACACACAGAATATCTGGTTAGCTTTTCTGAACTGGTTGGAATAGGGCAGGAATGGGGGTGTCTTTTAAAATCACAAATTGTGCTTACTGTTTTCTTCACAATAACATGTTAGCAGAGAAAACCAGAATTAAAAACATTTATCAGGATCCTTCATGAAACATTAAGTAACCACAGCTATTAAAAAGCTATTCCAGTAAGTTCCAGGCTTGGACATAATGAAATAGCCGAAAACAACTATACAAGCAGTACAAAAGAGAGAAAACACTATTTGAAGGCATTGGAGTACACCAACACAGGTGGGATTGATGAAGTTACAGTTCTTGAGAGGAAGGAAGTATATGAATTGAGCTCCACATTCTTTCTGGAATTTTTCTGAGCATACTTTCCAAATCATCTTCAAACAGGTGAATTTCAACAAAAACCTGAAGTCTATCAAAAAGAATCAAATAAAACTCGGGTAGGATAAATACAAAGAAAACCACACCGAGGTACATCATAGACAAGATGCTAAAAATGAAAGGCAAAGAGAAAATCAGCCAGAGGAAAAAAGGCACATTAACTTTCAAAAGAGCAACAACCAGGCTGATGGCTGACTTTTCAGCTGAAACTATGGAAGCCAGAAAACAACAGAAATAAAACTTTAAGATGCTAAAAGAAAATGCCTGGCAACCTAGGAAAACCTAGCCAGTGAAAACATTCTTCAAAAAGGCTTGACAAAATAAGTTTTTTCAGACACACAAAAGCTGAGAAAACTGTAGTCAACAAGTCAGCAGTAAAAGAAATACTTAAGGAGGTTCTTTATGCTGAAGGAAAGATTTTAGAACTGCACAAAACCATGCAGAAGGGAATAAAAACCAGGGAAGACAGGTATGTGGGTAAACAAAAATATTTACTGATTACTTAAAACGAGAGCAAGAATATCTTATGGGGTTTACAATACATACAGAAACAAAATATATAACAATATTAGCACACAGAGTAGGAGAGGGGTTAACTTATTACATACATTTTTTGCATTGCTTGGGAGATGGTAAAAGTATTATCAAAATACAAAGAGTAGTAAATCAAAGATGCTATTGTAATCTATAAGGTAGCTGCTAAAAGATTAATAAAAGAATGTATAACTAAAAAGCCAGCAGAGGAGCAAAATGGAATAAAAATACTAAATCAAAGACAAGAAAAGAGGAATAAAGGAACAAATAATAGGAAAAAAAAAGACATAGCAAAATGGTGACTCAAACCCAACCACAGCAAAACTGCATTAAATTAAATGGACCAAACACTAAATGCTATGCTAGGCATTTATCGTATGATTTAATTACAAATGTATATATTTAAACAAATGTTGTATATAACCTTTCAAGTCCTGGAATCCTATCAAGGAGAGCCTTTCTCTAACAAGGCCTTTGAGTTGAACAAATCTAAACTATTGATGAAATTGTGTGAGAGCTGAACAAAGAGGCCTTCTTTTGGCTGACACATATCTAAAAGCTTCTGGAAAAGACTTATATCTAGGGGACTATTTAACTTCAAGACAAATAACCGAGCATAGAGGACATCTAACAAACAAGAATATCTGGTCAAAGGTGTAGTACCTTAAAAACCCAAGAAAAAATAGTATTAGCTTAGTTTGCTAATATTTTGATATTTATTTTGATATCTAATGTTTATACCTTGTACAAGTAATCACATATAGGTCTAGCAGAATTTTTTTTTTTTTTTTGAGTTGGAATCTCACTCTGTCACCCAGGCTGGAGTGCAGTGGCACGCTCACAGTCACTGCAGCCTTGATCTACTGGGCTCAGGTGATCCTTTCACCTCAGTCTTCCAAGTAGCTGAAACTATATGCGAGCACTACCATGCCTGGCTAATTTTTTGATTTATTGTAGCATGAAACGAGGTCTCGCCAAGTTACCCAGGTTGGTCTTGAACCCCTGGGCTCAGGCATTCCTCTTGCCTTGGCCTCCCACAGTGCTGGGATTACAGGATTGAGTTACCACGAGTCTGGCAGATTTTAATGAACATTTCTATGCTATAGGAAGTCTCATCAAACTTTAGGCTTATAAAAATGACACCAATATAAGCAGGGGTTTAATTTTTTCTTCCATTTTTATTTTAGATTCAGGGGTATACATGTATGTTTGTTACAATGACATATTACGTAGCGGTGGGGATTGGGTCCCATATGGCCTGTACCCTAGATAGTGAACATTGTATCCAACAGATAATTCCTGAGCCCTAAGCCCCTCCCCAGTTCCCCCCTTATTGGTGTTCCCAGTGTCTATTATTTTCATCTTTGTGGTCAGTTAGCTCCCTAATATAAGTGAGGATTTGTGGTGTTTGGTTTTCTGTTTCTGAGTCAGTTCACTTAGGAAGATGGTTTCTAGCTCCATTCGTGTTGCTACAGAGGACATGTTTCATTCTTTTTTTTACTCCTGTGTAGTATTCCATGGTGTATATATGCACCACATTTTAAAAATCTAGTCAACTGTTGGTGGGCACCTAAGTTGGTTCCATGATTTTGCTATAGTGAATAGTGCTGCAATGAACATATGAGTACAGGTATCTTTTTT